TTTCATTTTCAATTCTAATTTCAGCTTTAAATATTTTTTTTGATGAATCACTTAGTATAAGCTTAGTAAATAAGTTGTTTTTCATTTCTTTATTCAAAACATTTGTATTTTTGAACGGATCTAAGCACTTCCATAAGCTTATCAGTTAGTGTGGGGTAGGGAAGCAGAGATTAACGAATTCTGAGACTCTGAATTAATTCAAAGTAATTGAGACATAAACTCAGATTTATATTCAGGATAAGTCCTGTTCTAATTGCTTATGTTTGCACATATTACAAGATGCGTTTAAACACGATGTTCGGTCCATATACCACATACAGTGTGCCAGAAAAAAAATGGACTACCCCCAATAACCTTTGATCCAGTGATTGGATCTTCACATTCTAGGACTCAATCTAAGTATACGACTTTCTTTAAATTCGATTTCTCTGAATCTATTCTGCTCAAATTTTGAATTTGGCCATGTAAAATTACGTAATTTAAAATAACGTAAGGAAAATCATACCTTACAATTAAAAATTTTTCTACTATTATTAAACAAAGTAATAAAAAATAATAAATATTTAAAAAAATTTATTTTTAAATATTTATTTTAAATATGCTATTAAATTTTACTAAAATTTATTTTCTAAAATGTATCTTTAGATACACGAATTTTATAACTGTGTGCAAATTTTTTTTCAATATTCTTAAAAAGCTCTCGAGGTATGATGAAATACGCAAAAAGTAAAATTAACATTAAGGGGTCCATCGCTTTCCTCATCAAAATATGGGGACCATATTCCCCAGATTGCCACTGCCCTTATATTTTGATGATCAGAAATTCCAATCCGTCTAAAAGAAGGTATGTTTATACGACGGAAGTACATTTTGTGTCTTATTTCGCAACTTAAAATATCGTCTGCACATTTGATGTCACCCTCTCGAACCAATAAGATTGAGTCCTAGAACGTGAAGATCGGATCATTAGATCAAAAGTATTGAGGGTGGTCCGTTTTTTTTAGCGCACTGTATATTTATCATTTTGTGATCGAATCGCTTATAAATAAGAATTATACATATCATCAAGCATTGTTGCTTTATATAAAGTTTATAATCACTAAAAAAATTACAAGAAAGAAATACTTGAGAAAATATGAATTATCTTCTATTCGTCACTTTATACTGTTGACGATTTGCGAATCCAAAGAAAGGTAAAGTATAAATGTAATAAAAGTGGCTATAAGTAACTCATCAGAATCGATTACTCAGATCGCTTTTCATTTTACAACATTCATCAACATTAGTAGCTATAAAGAATATACTGCTAGACTGTACGCTTAAGACATATTTACAAACGCAAAGAAATGTTTCTCTAAATTCTTCCTATATTAATTTTGGAATGAGTGTTGGGCCATCTATAGGCATCATAGTTTTTGCTTTGTTTTAATATTCAAAACAAAATTACCCGGGGAAAATGCTTACACAAGGTGTATTGCACCTTAAGGATTTGGCAGAATTAACTGCTCGTCTTGCGTTACTTTTTTACTTACATGTAAAAATGCAAAATATAAAACAGCATGATTCGATATAGAAATATCTAATGTCTTTGTATATACTATAATTTAAAAGTTTTTTAATCATGAGCGTGTATTTTAAGTTGAACAAAGTTTTTTTATTATTTTTTTTTTAACTAAACGAGATAGGAAAACTGTGAGACATTTTTAAATTTTTTTTTTTAGAGAATTATAAAATTTAAAATCAAAATGTCACCTGATACTTTTATTTACTCATAATCAACTGATAGTATAAAAGTAAAAAAAAATAAATAATTGTTAATAAACGTCAAATGCCCCACTCGTCAGGGAATGAATCTGGCAGACGTGCTTCTAAATGTAAATTTCATTCATTATAAATTGTAAAAAAAAACGGAATTTAAAAGTAATAAATCTTTTTTCCACGAAAAGTGCAATATTTTATTTCCAGTTTTTGGGGAATTATTTTGCTATTTTACTTTTCTTTCATTAGGTTAATTTTAATTTAAGATACAAAAGGTAGCGTTATTTTATGTACACAAACCTATATTAAATTTTTTTATATTTTTCATAATATTCGAACTATAAATGAACATTTCAAATACAAGATACCACGATTGAGCACTCAAGTTAGTTTTTTAAGCTTAATTACACACTGGTAAAATTAAATTATCTTCATGTAAAGCGAATTTTATATTTTAGTGTGTTAATGACTTAAAACCTCATTTACAAACCATAAAATTGGATAATTTTAAATGCACCATTATTCAGAATATTTTTATGTTGATGTGTCATAATCTAACTGTTTGGTAAGTAGCACGGATATCGTTTCTAAAAGTTCCAAAGAGAAGTTTGGAAACGCTATTCAGAAACCATAATAATGGATACTTTTAAATGTACCATTATTCAGAATATTTTTATGTTGATACTGTCACAATCTAACTGTTTGGTAAGTAGCACGGATATCGTTTCTAAAAGTTCCAAAAAGAATTTTTAGAAACGCTATTCAGAAACCATAATAATGGATACTTTTATCCATTATTATTATATTCTGAATAATGGTACATTTAAAGTATAGGTACATTTAAAAAATATTCTGAATAATGGTACATTTAAAAGTATCCATTATTCAGAATATTTTCATGTTGATACTGTCACAATCTAACTGTTTGGTAAGTAGCACGAATATCGTTTCTAAAAATTCCATAAAGAAATAAGAAAGTTTCGTAAAACAAGCAATGAAAAATAAGACATATCTATATCTGGAATGAAATAGGTATACACGTTGAATACTGAACCAAAGTTTTCCAGCAATCCTAATAGGATAGTTTTAAGCATAAAATTTCATAGTTTATAACAACTTTCTATGATAAGATTAGGATAAACAATTGAAAGGGAAGACTAGCATATTAAAATCTATAGTCTTGACATTTATAATTAATTTATCAAGCTAATGTCAGCAAATGCAACGTAGCACTTTTTTTGCCATATACTAGACTAAAATAGTTAAAACATGTCAATTAGATTTTATCTCTGCTGCTAGATTTCTAATGTTATACAAATCAAACAACTTTAATTAATAATGATATCAAAAATATTTGGTATAATATACATAATAGGTATGAAATACTTGACAACTTCATAGTAACCTACAAATTACATTACATTTGTTCAGTATAATAACTGAAACAAATTAATGATGTTATTCTAAAGAATCTACAACAACTCAGTACTCCCAATTTAAAAAGAAAAGCAAAACTTGATAACAAGTTATTGGGAAAAAAATTACGTGTTCAGTAAAATATATATTATATCAAATTCAGTAATCACCATCAAACTTAGTAAATAAAATTACCCTTACAAAAAATAAAGTGATTTTGAGGTTGTTTTGAGGTTATGCCTTGCACCAAAATCATCATTATTAATAAATCTCAATTTCAATCCTATTTTCACCTCACAAAATCAACCTCATATATAACTCAGAAATAATTTTAGTTTAGATAGGGTGAAATTATTCACACCTCAGTATACGCATTTGCTACAAATGCAAAAAAAATGATCCATACACCCCCAAAAAAACCTCCCTAAGCTGGTATTTCTCTAAAGTATATTTCAAGCAACCCTAAAAGAATGTAAAGTTTGAATAAAAACAACTTCAATCACCTTAGTTATACACCTTGAGAAGTTGATTTTTTTAATGTTGTTTTTGAAATCAACCTCTAATAAACCTCACATTCACCTTGCACCTCAAAACAGCCTCAAATAAACCTCAAAAATACCTTAAATTTCTGAAATAAAAAAATCACATTATTAATAGAAAGCTTTTTATGCTTATTATTTCTTTTTCCTATTTATTAAAAGAGAAATTTGATTAAAATAAATTCAAAATGTATGATACTTAAGAAAATTATGACGGTTTTTAAAAGTAAATTGAAGGAAAAAAAATATTAAAACATTTTTGAGTATTAATTTCGTAATAAATTTTCGCACAATAATTTCACTGTAAAAATTTGTACAGTGAATTTTTTTTTCGTTTTATTTATGTAATTTCAATAGCAGGGAATGTTTTTTTTGCTTTTTTTTATTTTTTTTTAAATTTAATTCTTTCTAATCTGCCTTCTTATTCAAAAAGGTAGAAAATATTTTAAATCTCGAAATTCTATAATTATTATTAATTTAAATAAAATTTAAGTTTTAAATGTTAAACGCCTACAGAAAAATAAAAAAATGTAATAAATTTGATACAAAATGTTAAAAAGGTATTTTAATGATTTTAGTTAATTCATGGTAAATATTTTTGCCTATAATTAATGCGTATACCTTTGATCGCATCTTTTTTGTTAGTTTGGTATAAACCAAAGTCGATTTTAATTATTAAAAATTTATGATTTATTTCATAATTTATCATGATTAGTAATTTTATTATAATTATTAGTAGCATTTTTTATTCTGATTAGTTCAGTTCAGTCAGTGTATTGTAAATGTGAGTGCACAGTGACAGGCATTTACAGGTATTTTTTTTTCTTACAGCGTTTATCCCCTTCAAAACTCTGCTATCTACGATAGTACCTTCCTTCTCGGCTTGGTACTACTCAAAGCTTTCTCAATCAGATTTTTTTCCCATCAAAAACCTTTTCATTGTAGTTTCTCCAGGTAACTGTTTCATCTGTCTGGATTTAATTTAAATCCCTTTCAAAACTTCTAAATCATCTGACAATTATATTTGTAGCTTTCCCGCTGTCTAATTCTGGTAGGAATAGGAAACATGGTTTTGTTTTTTAAGTTTCACAGTTCAGACTGTAAGGTGTTTTATCTATAAAGTCATTGCATAGATTTATCTTTTTATTCATTAATTGTTTTTTTAAACCTATTTCTTTGAAGCAATCGCTTTTATACAGTAGAAAACGTGTGTGGATTTGGGCACTTGGAACGAAAAACATTGTTTTTAGATAATTGATTTTGAAATGATTGATTTTTTTCCTAATATTTTTCAATTTTTTTGTATTCTTTTCAAACTTGTGATTTTCCTGTTCACAAGAGCCTCTGCATAATTTATAATACTGAAAAATTGTGGATTTGGACATTATGCGTGATTTCTGGAGAAACAGACGAACAATTTTTAAACCACTGAGAAGTTAGTCAGAGACGTAACTCATAATAGCAGCACAGTCAACAATTTCGTATTCGAGTACAAGACTCATGGCGACGAAAGCAAAATAGAGCAGAAACATCACCAGAGCTAGGCCAATGTTCATCTTCCACTTGAAAATAGCGATTGAGACTATAACAAAAATCAACATCGCAAACAGGATGATAATAGAGCAGGCCATGCCAGTACTGCTCACTTTCACAGGTCCAAACGCTAATGCTGAGAGGAGCCATGGAACTGGAAGCCTAAAATAGGGAGAGAAGAAAATCTTTCAATTTAATTATTAGAGTAAAGTATACTCAATGAGGCAATTATAATAATCAAGATATTCTTATGTACAAATTAAAAATTGAACTTTTTTAAACTGTTACGGACGTTTCTTATATAGGGGAAGGTAGGGCAAGATGGGAACACTGGGCAAGACGGGACATCGCTTTTTTTCCCATGCTCATCACGATAGCGACATCTAAAGTGCTTTTTCGGAAAGAAAATATTGTTGTTCTCAATTTGCACAAGTTTTTTCGTCAGTTCACAAGGTGTTGCCGAAGCGCAAGCATTGTTTTGTTTTTCTTAAACAGTGGTAAAATATTTTTCCTGATTTGCATGCTGATATTATTTGTTTAATACATTGCAACAAATTTTTCAAATTTGTGGCCATGTAGTGTTATTACTGTACGAACATAATGAGTAGGGTAAATTAAAATTTATTTATTTAAACAAATTTGGGGATATCTTTTTTAAAAAACGTACTATCCGGACAACATGGATCGGGCAAGATGGGACGGCCAAAGTAGAATAAAAGTGTAATATGAAAATTAAACTCTCCGGATTTGGCAAAAAGCATAAAAAATAAGGTAATATTATCAAAAAGAAATATGAACTAGCAAATATTACTTAACAAATTATTTAAAAAAATTTATAAAAATAATTTATAATTAATTGACAGACAATATTCAGATTGCTTAGAATGGGCTCATGAAGCTTGCAGTGCTTATTCCGGTTTTGGCCGCTTCTTATGCAGTAACTGTGATGTTTAGGAACGTTTTTTTTT